TGTGTGTGTGTGTGTGTGTGTGTGTGTGTGTGTGTGTGTGTGTGTGTCTGTGATTTCTATTTGTGTTTCTTTTTCTTAAATGTCTCATTTTGGTTGTGTTTTATCCTTCGCTTCCACCCTAAGTGACTTTATCAGGGTTATAACTCTCTTCTTCACCAAACATATCTGCCAAGACTTTAAAGCGGGGTCCCCAGTCTGTCAGATAGTCGTAGTCCTGGTCCGCTTCTGTGGTGAGAGAGTCTATAGAGCTAAGGGAGTCTGCTACTGATCCATTTCCTTCATACGCATATGTTGCCAATGAATCATATGGTGGGGCAGTTGGGTCCACATCATTCTCCTGTAGCCTTTGATTAATGAAATCCCGTATGTCTGTGTTATCTTCCACTGGTGGTCTCTGACGAGGTAAACAGAGAGGGTCTGGTTTTATATCCCTGCGGATTTTGTTATCTTCAATCACTTTTGGATTTCTCAGAGCACCAATGTCGAAAGCCTGGGTGTCCTCCTCCCCACCCCCTTCATCATCGTAATGGATAACGTTGTCTCTGATGTCTTCTTTAGAGGTCATTAGAGTGTCTTTCTTCTTCTGCCTTCGCAGAGCTACGTACAGCACAACTATGGCTGGAACAAGACAACAATTGCAAGTTGAGAAGGTGTAGTTCACATCTCCATAAAATTGATCAGGGCTTGCCAACACGTTATTTTCAAAGTAAACATATTATACAATAAGTATCATATCTATGTTTATGCAATTTCATTTTGAAATTGTAGCTAACAAATCTTAGCAAAATTATTCACAAAATCAAGCAATTACAGTCTTATATTTAATTTATATTATATCTTAATATTATGGTATCAGTTAAAAAGTGTGTTACAAATTTTTTCAAAAGAATGGTTGTTCTAAGTATATAGACAGTGTATAGTGTTTGTATAATAAAACTTGAATATTATAGCCCATAAATAACATATTATTCATAGTTAGATTTCCTAGTTGCAACACTTACATTTCTAATGAAATAAATCCAAATCTTCATGTGACAATAACTTTTAAAAGCAATACATTTTAAAAAGAGAAGGAAGAAAAGAAGGAAGGAAAGGAGAAAGGTAGGAAAGAAGAGTATAGAATATAAGGGCCTTAGTTTTATATATCATGTCAACCAAGACCTCTAGTTATTTCAATTCTGTGTCCTGCCATGTTGAGATATTTTCCAAAACAAATGCTAGTGTTCAGTTTACGTTCATGAAGCATGATGAAATTTTGAAATAATTTATATACTCTCATAATGTAAATCTATTTTTGTTCCTAGTTGATACACAGCAATCTGTTAAATTGAAAGCATTTATTTCGGGGCGCCTGGGTGGTTCAGTTAGTTAAGTGTCTACCTTCAGCTCAGGGCATGATCTGGGGGTCCTGAGATTGAGCCCCGTGTCAGGGTCCCTGCATAGCAAGGAGCCTACGTCTCTCTCTCCCTCTGCTCCTCCCCCTCGCTCAAGCGTGAGTCCTTGCATGTGAGTGCTTGCGTGTTCTCTCGCTATCTCTATCTCAAATAAATAAATAAAATCTTAAAAAAAAAAGGAAAGGGTTTATTTCCTTTAGAAGTGAATGGGCACAGATTCAAATGATGAAGTCAGTGCTCAGTTTTGCTCCTCATAAAAACCCCTCTCCTTCACAGAGGTGGTAACAGGCTGAAAGACATAGTGTGTTTGATTTACTACAGCAGGGTCCGGAAAACTCTCATCATATGATTAGAAATTTGAGAAGATTGAGTTGATGATGAAAGCTCATTTGCTCCCTCTTCCTCCAAAATTAAAGTTTCACCAACTGGACGGAGGGAGGAGATATAGGTAGAGCTTCTGTACAATAGTCCTTGAAGAAATGTTTAGCCCTCTGCACTCCTCCCAGCATTTAGAAATCCAAACACTAAAATGACTGTTGCTCATCCAGAGAGTGAGTGAGAAACTGGAAGCCTATACAGATGCCCTGCATGTAAAATGGCTTTGGGGATGCTATGACTGAGAAGGCACTTCTAGCTGATGTGCCTGAGGACCCCCTACAAGATACCTAGACCCCACAAGATGCTCTTGATTTCCCTCATCCCAGGAAAGCTATGGAAATGGCTAAGAATAAATGGAAAGATCTGAAGGAGTCTGAGATTGGTTAAGGAAGTCCAGGAATAGTTGGGGTTTAAGTACACCCCATGGCAGGACTAATACTGCCACCATCCCCTGCTGTATCCTGGAAGGTTCACATGCTAGAATTGTGCAAGCACACTGTGGACCCTCAGTGAGCATCTGGAGGATTAACTGACAGATGATGGCACATGCTGCTGCTGACCTGAGCCAGATTACTCGCTACAATGTAAAAGGGCCAAAGAGGCCAAAGGTGAGCATCCAGAACATGCCAAGTCACGCTAGGTTGATGTGATCTGGGACTCAGGTGGCTCCTAGACAAGAGAGAAGCATTAAAAAGTGACACTGGATTTGAGGTTAAACATCTAATTGCTGGTGTTCAATTTCAGATGTGAGAATATTATTCTGAATCCTCCCTTTTAAGGTTCATATCATCAGCATATATGCCAGAGATAACTTATAAATTATAAAGATAGAAAGGAAACTTTTTTTTCTGGATACCAAAGTTACTTATTTGGAATTAATACCTATACCATTAAAATTGCACTAGAACTTCAATCTCCAAACTAACATGAGTTTCTGACTTGGAGAATGTTCTCCATAAACTATGATATAAGGCCTTACTCGATGCTTTACATTCTAGTTTTTTGTTGTTGTTGTTGTTATTTTCTATCTTAAGATAAAGATATGTATCTACATTTGTGAAGCATATATAAACAGATTCCACAATGCCCAATTGTAATCTGTTGCCATTTGAATTTAAAGAAATGACTGGCAAAACAGAAAAGCTCTCTCTGCTTTTGTGAATCTGCCGGTAAATTAATAAGTGAAGGGAGCCAGCTGAACAGAATTGATGGAAGAACGAAACCCCTAAAGTAGATTTATATTAATTCTTACAGAGATGTTACAGAATGTATTACCTCTGTCCTTTTTCCTTGGCAGTGCTTCTAGATATTTCAGTGTGTTGTGTTCTAGGGGGAATGGTTAGAATTTTGATGTGAGATGTGAGAGCTGGAATAAGAACTGCTTTCAGCTGGCAGTTTAAACAAAAAATAAAAAAGAAAATTTGGGGGTGCTTTCACTTTCTCTCACTCTTTTCCTGTTCTTTCTCTTTTCTTTCTTTATTGAACTGGCATTTGAAAGCTACTGATCATCTAGTATATTTTTAAAGATTTATATAACATCTTATTAGGTAACAACGATTACTGGAATGTAAAATTAATTTTTTAAGAAAACACTTAAAAAAAACAGTGCTGTAAATGGGATATTTGTTAGAGAAAATTTCACTGTGGCAAGTGCAACAAACTGTTATTAGTTAAAATCCCCAAGGGGTTGAACATAGTTTTGTGTTCTGATGCTATTTATTTATTCCAAATGGTATATAGACATGAGATAGTAAATAGAAATTTAACATTAATAAAAATATCATTCAATATAGATAATTTCCCTTCTATCCAGATGTGGCATCTCAATAAAGAAAAATCTGATTTACATGGTAAAGTGTGAAGAGAGAGGCACAGAGGAGATGGAGAGAGAGAGAGAGAGAAGGAATATGTGATTAATATTGAAACCAACCTAAGAGTATAACGATGCACAGTAGGATTGCAATCAAAGCCCCAGTGCTGAGTCCCACAGGTAGAAAAATTGCTTCCACATTACAAGACAGGATGGTACCGTCAGAGTCACATCTACAAACACGAATAGTCATAGTGTTGGTGCTGCTCTGCACGGGATAGCTGCTGTCCTCTATTACAACAGGAAGGAAGTAAATCTCTTGCTGCCGGCGCCTGTATCCATTTCTTCGGGTTTCAATTCCAGCTGTGTTGTCTACAAAACACGACATTTGCGATAAGAGGGTTACTAAAAGCTTTGTTTCAAATCTGAAAGTTGGTATCGGTTAAACAGTAGGAAGCTCTTCTTGCATCAGCAAAAATGCATCCAAATTTTAATTCTTTCTTTTATTATGATGCAAGCTGCCAAATGGAATCAAAATAATCCTTAAGAAAAGAAGAAACGTTAATCTTGTCTGGTGTAAGTATTAAATTTTCAATTCAGAAAGAATATAAAACTATTGATAAGACTAGAAGTATTTTGTGTTGACCCATTTGTGTGTGTCTGTTGACGCTTTTTTTTTAACATTGAAATCTCACTGAGAAAAAAAATACATCTGTGGGTGTTTTCTTACATGATGGAAGAGCAGAGATTACAAAGCATGAGTCTGTAAAATATCTCACCTATGAACTTGTTCTTTAAAAGACAACAAATATCAATTTAGCATTTGATTTTTTATTTTTCCCAGATCAGTATCTACGATATAGATCTGGTAAAAAAAATATATATGTATACTTTATACATATATATTTATATATGCATATATTTATATATATTAATATCATTCACTTTTATACATGCATATGTATATATAATATCTTTTACTTTTGTACATTAGTTAGTATAAGAAAAATGGAAAATAAAGTGGGTTAAAAACATCAAGATTCATTAAAAATTTTAGACATAATAAATTATAATAATCACTATTTTAATATAAGTATAAAAATAATTCATTTTAGTTCTGACAAAATCAACATAGCAATATTTACTTAGAATGATCCAAAGCAATAAATATTTTAAATTTTATATAAATGCAATTAATACTCCTATTGAAAGTATTATTTTGCATTCATTTGTTCTTTACTTCTTTTATTTCTACACATAGAAGTGGGAATTTGGTTTTATTCATAACACCATTTCATTGTTTGTGTCTATTAAAGTAACTCCTAGAAATATTTTGCTATTTTAAAAAACGTATTAATATTTAATTTATTATAGCCATATATGATATCCACTTTGGAATCATGGAAACTAATTTTAAAAATATATATTCCTCATTAAAATACAGGTATTTCAGAAAAAATGTTACTATCTCAGTAATATTCCATTCATTTCTTTGTATATTCTAGATTCAGCAACTAAAAATTAGGCAGCTTCTCTAGACTCATTTCAATAGAAGGACGAAGTTGAGAAAACTTTACTTGATACACTGTTTTACATAGGAAGATGACTTTGTTATTACATAGAAGAAATTTTTCAAATTGAAAACAAAACATCAAGATGCCAAATGTCGATTATAATATTCCCAATGAGACTTAGTAATGCCGGGTGCTTATGATGACAGTAGGAATAAAAAAATGGGGGCTAATTGAATTCACACTGAAATCTTCAGCAGCTGACCGAATACTTGAGTCTGAGGAAAAGGAACAGTCAGGATTTAAATAAAAATAGGGGTTGGAGAAGCTGATATATTTGCACTTGAGGAGTCATGGATTCAATGTTCCTGAACGTATTATATCAAAAGGCCTCCTATTCTTTTATGTTTACAGTAGCGCCCTCTCCCCCATCCACGGTTTTACTTTCTCTGATTTCAGTTGCCCCAAGTCAACCTTGGCCTGGAAGCAGATGATCCGCTTTCTGATGTACGGTCCAAAGGTGATTTCATCTCATCACTTAAGCATTTTATCATTTTACATCATCATAAGAAGAAGGGTGAGTACAATACAAAATAGTTTAAGAAAGAGATCATATTTACATAACTTTTATGAGAGCATATTGTTACAATTGTTCTATTTTATTATTATTGCTTTTAATTACTTACTGTGTCTAACTTATAAATTAAACTTTTTCATAGGGTATGTGTGTATAGTAAAAGATTCTATCTATCTATTTATATATATATAGTATATATACAGGGTTCAGTACTATCCATGGTTTGGTTACAGGCATCCAATGGGTGTCTAGGACCATATTTCCCAACAGAAAAGGGGGGATTACTGTATTTTCAATATATTCTTATTATTGATATATGGCCATAAAAAATTCATTGTGCTGTTCATGGTGGAAGAAAAAGATATTAAACCTCATGTCCACTCTTAAAATAGTTTCTACTGAAGAACAGGTAAAGCTAATATATATCATACAAACTATAAATATATATGCACACAATGGAATATTATTAGGCTATAAGAAAGAAGGAAATATTGCCATTTATGATAACATGGATTAACCTGGAGAGCATTATGCTAAGTGATATAAGCCAGGCAAAGAGAAATGCTGTACATGGTAACATTTATATGTGGAATCTAAAAAAGATTAAAAAAAAAGGAACTTCTAAAAACAGTAGAAATGCAGTTGTCAGGGGCTGGGTATGGAGAAAATGGGGAAAGATTGGTAAAAAGATACAAATTCTTAATAAGATGAAAAAAGCCTGAGGATCTAATGTATAACATAGTGATTCTTGTTGATCAAAATTTGCTAAGTGAGTAGAACTTAAATCCACAGGGGGAAAATTTTTTTTAAAAAGGTAAATATGTGAAGTGAAAAAAGATTTTTTATTCAGTTTTTAAAAACTTATACTTACACTTAACATATAACTTAAGATAAAAGAGAGAATATAGTAAATGGCATACGAATAGCAAACTGTATTCAAACTGTGAGAAAACACTATGCTATGAGGCAAAATGATCTGATTCATATTACCATGATTAATCAGATACAGTTTCTCCAGCAAAGATACAATGGAAAACAGTCAAATTATGTTCCTGAATGATGTGACCACCGACCTTGTTGCCCAAGCCAGGGATCTGGAAATCTGATTAGTCTTCTTCTCCATTGTATTTACACATGGAATCTAGGCAATCTAGCATCAAGCCCTATGGATTCTATCTCTATCCACATGTCTCCATTAGCCATTACCTTAATTTAATTCTCTCTCACCCACTCCTGCAATAGCATCAGAAGTAATCCTATATCCTCCTATTATCTTTTCCACACTACAACCAAACTGATCTTCCTAATGCAAATCTGAACATATTATGCTCTTGTAAACCTTTCAAAGACTTCTGAAGACTTTGGATTTAAGTTATAATCCTTTCAAATGGCTTGTAGTTAGGGTGACCACATAGTCTGATTTGTCTTGTAGTCCTATTTTATGTGAACTGTTCTAATAAAATTACTAATATTGTCCAATTCTAATCTCCAAAGTGTTCTAATTTTCATAACAAAATATGTGGTCTCTCTAATTATAAGGCTCTTCATATTTGGGACCCTGTTGCATTTACTGCCATCCCTAGCATTACATTATCAGATGAAGCAAATCCTGCTGAATTTCTTTCTGTGACAAAATGTCTGCTTTCTTTCCTCTAAATATTGCAGAAAAGTAAATTTACTCAGACATCCTTTGACTTCTGTTCATCATCATCACCATCATCATTATCTCATCACAATTGGTTCATTTGTTCTATAAGCATAGAATTTAGTAAGAAATTAGCTTTTTAGTATCCAATATTATGAACTCTGGTGATTCTAATCCCAATTTCATAACTATGGAAACTTAGAAGGGATAAAATATCCACAAGTCACAGAACTAATAATTTCAGAACAACTGACCAGTACTTACCTTTAATATTTGTAATCTAGTGTCCATTGTATTTTTGTAGTGAGTATAACAGTAGCAGATGTGATAGTATTATTAGCAATAACAGTGGTGGTGATGGTAGTTAAATTTGGTGGTAGATACGAAAGTGCAGATATGGTGGTAGAGTTGGCAACTAAAATCACTTTGGGTATTGTGTTAAAGGATTTGCATGCATTATTTTATTTAATATAAATACTATGAGGTTGATTCAATTCGACTATGAGTTTAAAATTATTTAGTTTAACTTAATACATTGAGAATCTGCCATTGAGGACATAAGGGAGTGGGAAGGAAAACCTTTGTCATTCTAATTACAAAGCCTGTATTCTTAACCTGTGTTGTACTCTGTGTTATTCAAATAAACCAGTCACTAAGAAGTTACCTATTTGTTTGTACTACAAGTAATGTGCATGTGGAACAAATGATATATTTAAAACATAGAAAGCACTCAATTTCCCAGATAGGCCGGTTTTGCTTGACACTTTAAGGGACTGTCTACATTATAAATGGAAGCAATTTGCCTCATTAGATACAATCTATATAGGTTAAATATTTAATTTATTGCTAGCTATAGATTTTTGTATTTTTCGTATATGGATTTCCATATTTTAGGAACTTGAGTGCTTTTAGAAAACATTGATTTCTACCTTTGTGTGTTATTACAAAGTTACATAATAAGAGGGTTTTTTTTCTTTTTTATGGGGTTAAACTTACTTCTGAAGTCACGGACTGTAAAATTTGGTTTGATGGCAGCTTCGGGTGATAATCTAAAGGAGAATTGCTGCCCAGCAGGTGAAAGATCTCGGTCTGCAGCGCTGACTATCTGAATTATCTGAAACAAAGTTGAGATAAAACTTGAAGTCAGTCATGAGTTTCAAAGGGAACTTTACATACACCAGGCTCATAAGTTCATCCAATGATGCATGCAAGGAGATAGAAATGACATTTTTAGGATTCATATCAGTGGGCCAATTATTTACAAATAATTTTTATAAACATATATCTAAACATTTACAGTTCATAATGGCAGGTACAATCATCGGGTATGAGCCAATTCCAAATCAATATCTGCATAACTAAAAAAACTTAACACCATTGAAAATTCTCACTAACAAAATAAAATTAAAATGCACTTGCTTGCATTTTAAACTAAATAAAATAAATGCTTTCTAAACTAAATATGAAAATGCTTACTGGAAAGAAAATCTCTGATTATTTAAAAGCCCTTGCAATAGCAAAATTTTAGTATAGTTTTGTTTGTGAGAATGAGTTTTATTTTCATAAATAAATAAAATGATGAGAAAGAGAAAAACAAAGGATGTATATCTGGTTTTGTCCTTATATTTGTTTTTCCCCAATGAGCAACAATACTAAATGTATTTTCATAAAGTTTTTTAAAGAAGTAAGCACTATAACAACCCGGTTTCAAAATTTTTCCTAAATCACCTTCCATAGGTTGTGTGTTTAGCAGTTAAAATTCTGATACTTCAAGAAAATGCCCTTAAGAATTTGGAGAGTAAAAATAACTTCTGAGAGCCAAACTGTGAAATTGATAATTCACTACATAGATAAGCAAATTATAATAGCTTTGAGATTGTATTTTATTAACATATCCAATGGCTTTGCATCAGAAAGCATTTCAGGAAATGTGTATAGAAGAGAGTGAGAGCAGAGTAGTGCTCAGGTGATCACTCTCTTAGACAAAATTTGAATTTGTCAAAGGAAGACCTTTTATGTCAAGAACTGTGTCTTTGTCACAGTGGGCAAAAACATACATCGTGTGTTCTATATGTGATTTACTTACTACTTTTTGTTTTCATTCCATGCTAAAACTCAACCTTATTACCATGATCTATGCCCCATAGAGTTGTGTGCATGTACACATGCATACAAAATCACACACTCACATATAAGTGTATCTACTGTGACTTTGAGGGCCTGGTGCTGTATTAGTAATTTCTAATTTGACAAATTGGCTTTCTAATGAGAATTTTGTTTCCCTGGTTTACTGTGAATCAGTCACAATTCTATAAAACTTCAACTTACGTAACTTCACGTAAACTCATAGGCTCAGTCAGATCACTATATCCCATCCATAAGTTTTCTGTAAATTATTAGGGGATTGGGTTGCCAGGTATTTTGTTTTGTTTTGCCTTTAACTACTATCAGCAAGCATAATCATTTACCAAATTGAAGTTATTTAACATCAAAAAATTCCAAGAACATAACTTTAGAATGAAGCAATGTCCTTTCAAACAGCAGACAGAGAAGAAAGCTTTGGTATAAACAGGCACTTATCTGGAATTGACACTTGGGAGTCATTGCCCTAAGGGAAAAAAAACTCTCATACTTCAGGAATTCACTATATATATCACTGTTGATTTAGATAGCATCATCTTTCTCTCTCTTCTCTTTTGTCTCTTGATAGATAATACATACATACATATAAAAATACATACATATACATGTTCAGTTATAGGCCAGAGTGATAGACAGTTCCTAGGCATAGTTCCTAGACAATGGGCAGAATGCCTGGGGTCAAGAGCAGAAAATGCTCACATACCACACTCCCTGAAAACGCAAGTAACAAATGTGGCCCAGTAGAAAACACAATAGGTATTTATAAAAAAAGAGCCTACAAGGACCCCACAGATTGCTTACCACTTTGCCCAGATGTAAGAAAACCAAGTTATCTTGGGTCATTTCTACTTTTCCCAACCTTTCAAACTCTTTAGTTTGTTAGACAAGCAGAGAAGCATCAAATGGAGTTCTATTTCCGAAAGGACTTTCGTTTTGTTCATTACAAGAGTCTAATTGATATAAAATGATTAATATCCCTAACTATCTAAAAAAATAGAGAGTTAGATTTCGGGGGGTGAGGGTGGAGGGATCTGGAAAGTGAGAAATTGCTAAGTTGTGGGATTTCAGAAAACCTCTTGTAACTTCTCAAATAACCAAATTGGTTTCTTATTTGTTTAAACATTTATGCAGCATCTACTCTTTTAGACACTAAAGAAGGCACTGGATTTATTCCATGTAAATTGTGGGTACATTTAAAGTGATAAAGGGTTAAAATTTCTTTTTAATGCATTTCTGTGTCTATTCAAAATTAAGGTTGCAAATTTATCAAGTGGAAAATCTGACTAAATAAGTCAGGTTTTAATAAATTTAATACTTTCCCCAAATTATCAGAGAAAGGATTAGAGCATCACAGTCCACTAGAAGTTTCTGTACTGATGGAAATATTCTATATTTATATGGACAAAAAATGGTAGCCACTCATTAGATACAGCCATTGAGCAACTAAAATGTGGCTAGTATGAATGAGAACACTGATTTTTAATTTTATTTAATTTTAATTTAATAGCTACATAGCTAGTGGACATCATAAGATTAGGGTTATGGGACAGATTTTCTACAAAGCAGTATGAAACATTCAAATTGAAACAAACACTGAATATTTAGGAGTAACTTCTTCCAATAAAGATACTGTTTTAAATATTATTTTCAGTAAGAATTTAAACTTCAAATTTACTTAAATGAATAGTTATGCTATTTAAAGGTGATTAAAATACAAAGTGAACCAAGCATACTGACATATTTTTCCTTTGGAACCTAGGTGCACAGTATTGAATTAATCATATTCTTATTTCATGACATACTTTCATCATTTTCTCATGCTTGATTCATTCATTATATCATATCATATCATATCATATCATATCATATCATATCATATCATCATGTCACATTATAACATTATATTATTTTATTCATTCATCTATAATAGTCTAGGGGAAAAAAAACTGGCTACCCAGCACCACTCACATTAAATCTAGGATTTTGACAGTAACTTTCATAAGCATGTGGTCCTCCTTCATGACATCTCCCACTAGAACCAGAGCAATATTGACTTAATAAGGAAAGTGTAATTCAGAGATTTTGAATAACCCAGATGTTCTACTCAAGGCCACCAGAGAAAGAAGCCTTACATTTCTAATGGGCTACAGAGATTTTCTGTACCCCTTCATAAAACACGTGAGCAAAGCAAGAAACACTCTAGAAGAATGTACTCTCAAGTTGTTTACTTACTGGGTTTATAGTCACAGATTCTATAAAATGTCCACAGTAAAGGAGTGGAAAACGTAGCAGATCTGCAATCCTAGACTGTATACGAAGAATATTCACTAGGCCATCATCACTTTATCCCTTGGGATGTTACTTCTACATCCATAAATTCACCCTTATTTTATGAGTTTACTATCTCTTGTGGGTTTTTTTTTTATGAAAATATATGATCCAGGGAAAAAATTATCTATCTCTCTCTCTCTCTATCTATCTATCTATCATTATCAGTATTGGGATTGATATAGATATCGATGTGTGTGTATGTGCATTTATCTATGGTCTTTTACCCTGAAACATATGCAAATAGTAGATCTTTATATGCTATTTGTTAATAATATTGATAAGATACCTGTCCTGGTTTGGCATTTTCACACACAGCTGTCTCATATGGCACAGATATTTCTGGAGGAAATTCATTGACATCTAAGACATTAATCAATATGTTGACTTTGCTGCTTAATAATGGGTTACCTGTTGAAAACATAAAAAGAGAACAGACACTTGCAAAATCTGGTCAGTTATCATTCTTATAGTAAATAGTATTAAACATTTTTTTATTTTTTTAAAGATTTATTTATTTATTTCACAGAGAGAATGTGTGTGAGTGTAGGCAGGGCACAGAGGGAGAGAGAGAGAGAAAGAGAGAGAGAGAGAGAGAGAGAGAGAGACAAGCAGACTCCCTGCTGAGTGCGGTGCCCAGTGCAGTGCTGCATCCCAGGACCCTGAGATCATGACCTGAGTGGAAATCAAGAGTCTGAGGCTTAACTGACCGAGCCACCCAGGCATCCCTTAACTTTTTTTTTTTATCAGTCATTGTAAAGAAGTTAAATGATCCTTCCTTATTGGGAAACTCTGCAGTGTGCCAAGTATAAATGATAAAAGGATGGGTAAGTATGTCAGTGTTTTGCTGTCAGAGCACTAGCGGTGCCCCATACCAGTGTTCATCCTGAAATTCACTCACCACCAAAGTTAAGGTCAACCAACTAGTATTTTATCAAACATGTAGCTATCATACCAGAGTTCACAGAACCAACCTTCAATAATAGTGATAATTTTCACTGGATAAAGCATGTTTTCTATGTTGTGTCCATATAATTAAAACTTTATTGGGTAGGATCATCTACATATTTAAAAAGTTCTTTCAAAATGATTCTTCCTGAAAAGGATGATAAATTACAAGGAAAATGAAGGAGAAGGGGCTTTTTATAAATAAAGATTTAAAAAACAGACTTAAGGAAGTAGAAGACATAGATTATGGAAAGCTAGGATACACCCTGAAATGACTTGCTGGTGATAAGAAAAGAAGGAATAAGGATTTTCTTCCTACAGTATATTAAAAAAAAAAAAAAGTGTTGGTTTGAAAAAGTGCCAAATCCCATCACAAGTTTTAGCCCCTGCTCTTGATACATTATCTGCTTCCCTGTCATTTGTTGAAGAAGACTCAAAAAAATTAAGTTAGTAAGGCATAGCAATGCACAGTTTACCTTTCTTGTTATAAAATTTTACCATATGAAATTTTACCAATGGATAAACTGTCCCATATTGTTGAAGGACCTTGCCCAAAGTCACACCTTTAGGGGAATGGGAAGTTCAGATTCTAACCCAGGACTATGGAAATTCAAATACCATGTGTATGCCACCATACCTTCTCTATTGATTGTTTTATGTGTTAAATCCTTCATCTGCAGTGCTGCTGATGATTCATAATATTAGTATTCTTTTAGACCTCTATCTGGATTCTTTTAAAGAAACATACACAATTTCAACACACGACTGACTCTGCCAACTCTCCACTATCCTGCTGTGCTAAAACTTATTAGAAAATAATAGGCACTATAAACAGTATCATAATAAATGTTTGCATATTCACATATGACACAGTGAAATCCGTCATCGTGGACCAGTACACACACAGATAACACAAAGTGGGGATGACTGGTATATTCTGTAATAGAGGATGTGCTTATAGAAGGTGTATTGGTAATCTTAGAGAAGGATGCAGAAAGTATGATTTAAAAATTAATATTGGCAAAAGAAATCAATATTGGCCACAGGGAATTATCTTATTTGGTAGAAAATGTTGGCTGTTTTCAGAAGTTAATTAATCTACCTTTAATTTGGTTTCTTCATATGAAACACACAGTATTAACAGTTCCAAATTCATAGGTTTGTTATATTAAATAAGTGGTGGTGTTTTACAAAATGTTAGATCACCTCTGGTAAATTACATCACTCTTATTACAAAGTGCACTTCTTGGAGGTTATTTAGCTCTGTTTCTATTTTTGGTGTTAATTACTCCTATAGCCTAATATGTAGATAAAAGTCAACAATTTGGCTAAACTTGGTTTGCTTTTGTGAAATCCTGGAAATTATAAAAATTAACAACAAAATTAAAAAAAAAACCTAGGCCTAATATTTTGTAATGCTTACAGTGTACCTATATTCTAAAACATGTCACGTAGATTAACTCTTTTAGGGTTCACAGTAACTCTATTATTGACACTATTATCCCCATTATTACATGTGGAACTCTGAGGAACAGAAGGGGAATGTGACTCCCAAAAATCACAAGTTGGAAGTAATAAGATGGGGTTCTGGTTCCAAGTTCATGCTCTTAAACTCTAGTATACATCGTGCATTAGAAAATAACTGAAATTTATTTAGCTATTGAAAAAAATAGACAACGAATTAATATTACAGATTAGTTTAGGGAATTCATGTGAATTACTTAGTCTATTCAGTTTCTACCCACATAAAAATCAGTCTCCGCTTTCCATTTTACATGATATATAAAGTACAAGTCCTGAGGCCATATAAAGAGGAAAGTTTTGTGCGTGTTGTTTGTTTTTGGATTTTGTTTGTTTATTTGAGAGAGAGAGGAAGAGCATGAGCGGGGGAGGGGCAGAGGGACGAGCCAATTGGGGAAGCAGTAACATCTCTGTTCAAGAACTCCTGTACTTAAGCACTGAACTTTTCACAAGAGAATATAATTTGTTAGAGTAATATAGATTTTTTATTTATGCATATAATTCAGAAAATTACATTGAAGAAATAATGACCTTTTTTCTTCTGACTCATCTAATCTGTATTTGGGACATCTATGATGAAATTTGTTTAATCATGACTTAGTTTGAGCATTATTACCAACATTTTTGCCACGTAGAAACTAGTTATCACTGAATATGTAGAGGGCAGTTTCAAATATAAATTTAGTAAATTTTATTCTATTTTTTAAAGATTTTATTTATTTATTTGTCAGAGAGAGAGAAAGCAGAAGCAGGGGGAGTCTCAGGGGGCGAAGGAAAAGCAGACCCCTCACTGAGCAGAGAGCCCAATGCAGGGCTCCATCCCAGGACCCTGGGATCATGACCTGAGCCAAAGGTGGACGCTTACCGGACTGAGCCACCCAGGCATCCCTAAATTTAGTAAATTTTAAATAACCAAAATCTTACCTAATTGCTGTGTTCTTTGTAGCCAAATCATTTAAATTCCAATTATTATCGATGCATGTTGCTTATATTTAATAACCAGCTTATTAATAGTTTTTGGCTCACATAATATAATCAAGAAATCATTTTGTTTTTATCCCCTATGTTTTCAAAAATGTTTTGTTAGATTTTCTTTCCCCATCCCTTGATGATATCTTAGTGAGCTCCCTTAGCTTTCTGAGTCAGTTTGAGTTAGAATTGCCTTATTAGTAGTATTTTCAAGTACGGTTTCAATTAAGAAAACAAAAGGTAAAGCCCAAATTACCAAAAAAAAAGGAATGAAGGAAAAAAAAATCACTGTTTATCATAAATGAGTTAAAATATTATAAGGAATATTATGAATATATGCCAAAAATCTAGTCAACATAAATGAACTGAACAAATTCCTAGGAAGACACAGATTACCAACAATGTCCTTTAAAAGAAATAGAAAGCCTTAATAGACCTTAAACAAATGAATAAAATCAAGTTGTAATTAAAAATCTCGCAACCAATAAAAAACGCATGCACACATGCCTTCACTGGGGGATTTTTTTTTTTTGAACTCTGGAGATATTTTACTTTTAAAGATTAAAGATTTCATTTATTTATTTGACAGAGACAGAGAGAGAGCATAAGCAGGTGGAGCGGCAAACAGAGGCAGAGGGAGAAGCAGGCTCCTTGCTGAGCAGAGAGCCAGATGCAGGGCTCAATCCCAAAACCCTGGGATCATTACCTGAGCCAAAGGCATATGCTTAACTGACTGAGCCATCCAGGCACCCCACTGGGGGAATTCTATCAACTATTTAAAGATCACATAATACCAATTCTTTACAAACTTTCAGGAAATGGAGAAGGAAACACCAATTCATTTTATGTATACTGCTACCAAATGCAATGAAAAAACATCATAAGAAAACAAAACAAAACAAAACAATATGGGCTAATCTCACTCATAAACATAAGTACAAAATTTCCTTAACAAAATATTAACAAATCAATTCCAGAGCATACTATAAAATTACTACACAATGACCAAATGGCATTTATCCTAAGGATATAAGATTAGTTCAATATCCAAGAATAATCAATCCAACACACCATATTAATAGAAGAAAGCTAAAAAACACATGGCCGTCTCAAATAGATTCAGAATTAGCATTTGACAAAATCTTACATCCATTCATAATTTTTAAAAAGTCTTCTAAAAAAGTAATGAACAGGAGGCAAGATCTTCAACCTGATCTAGTCTATCTACAAGAAGCCTATAGCTAACATCATATTCAAAAGTGAGTCAGTGCTTTCTCTCTAAAATTGGGCACGGGGCAGAAATGGCTGTTCTTGCCACATATATTCACCATTGTACAATCAAATGAAAATAAAATTTAAAAAAATGTAAGTATCCAGATTGGAAAGAATGAAACTGAGACCCCCCCCAAAAAAAAACCTCCATTCACAATATAATCAAAGATAATAAAATATTTGGGAATAAATTTAGCAAAAGAGATGCAGGACTTACAAACAAATTCACAAATCATCGCTCAGAGAAATAAAATGGTTTGCTGATGGAAAGCACTGCTGGTGATGGAAACAGAAAATTGTATAATCACTTTGGAAAATGGGTTGGAACATTCTGTAAAAATTAAACATGAACTGATATTGCAGCAAGTCCCCTCCTAGGTATCTACCCAAGAGGATGAAATAAACATCCACACAAAAACCTGTATACAAATGCACATTAAAGTATTATGTATACACTTCAAAACTGACAACAATGCAAATGTCTATCTTTTGGTGAATGGATAAACATTATGTGACATATCCATGCAATGACAATTACTTCAACAACAAAAAGGAACAAAATAGTGACATGGCTACAACAACCTGAATGAATCTCAAATATCCTCTTCTTTGACAATAAGGCTGACATTTTTCCTTGGAGCTGGTTTAGCTGCAGAAAGCAAAAGCTTTC